GGTCCCTGACTGGGGCCGGGGGCCGCAGAGGGCGCCTTTGCGCACACGAGGAACCAGGGCCGGAGATGCCTGTGCTGAAAAAGGAGGACGAGGGAGGGCTGGAAGAACTGACGCGAGTGTGTGTGTGTGTGTGTGTGTGTGTGTACACGTACGTGTGAATACGCGCGCGCTTGCGCTTGTGCTGTGCTTTCAGAAGGGCCCGCCAGGTGAGGGAGGCAACCTGTGGAACATCGGGTGTCGTCTCTTGAACTTATGTTGCAGTATAAAAATTAAATTTTTATTGCTTTCTTTTGAGCAGGCCCAACAGAAAACAGGACTAGGTATACCTATAACAATGCCATTACATATGATTTTACTTCCTGCCACTCCCTGTCTCAACAGAAACCCCTAACGGGGAATTGGGTTTAGACCTGATTCCGTGGTTGAATAAGCCAGGAAATGTCCTTGACTATCGAAAGATCACATGAATCGCATACATGTGCACCCATTTAAAATACTGTGGAAAATAGTTATCATTTACCACTAGCTTATTCATTAATTTAAAATATTAGCTATGAAAAATTCAACGGAAGTCTTTTATAAAACAGTTAAAAGTTGACCCTTTTATTGCCTATTTTGAGAGTTACTACTACCTAAAAGTGTGAGCTTTTGAGATTGTGAGAATTTTATCTGACGTGACTGATATTCTCTAAAATTGTAATTAACATCCTTTGGCGATAAGAAGAATTTATTTTTATGTTTAATTTTAAAATTTACAGCTAACCTGATCCCTGGAAGAAAGAGCACTCTTCTTTTCTTTTCTTTTTTTGTTCTTTTGTTTGTTTGTTTTGAGACAGTCTCCCAACATAATTCAGGCTGGCCTTGATCTCACTATGTAGCCCATGCTGGCCTCAAACTCAAAGGGATCCTCCTGCCTCAGCCTCCCAAGTGCTGGGATCACAGGCGTGCACCACCATGCCCAGCAGAAAGAGCACTTTAAAAACAGAAAGAGGATTGCAGTAGAATTGAAGGTACTGTGGAACATTCTTTGTAGCCTGTTGCCAGAAGGAACTGAGGAGATAGATTGTACTCATTAGTGTGTATTTTTCCTATATTTAACTTTATGTTCATTTTAGCTTCTGAAAATAAGCAGGTTTAAATTTAGAGTAGTTAAAAAAAAAACCACATAAAAACAGAAAGACCTATAAATAGCTTACTGAAATTATTAGAGCTGGCTCCAGAATCATTTGTACTTTTGCTTTGTCTAGTTAGTAGAATGGTTTTGCAAAACACATACTTCACATAATTTAGAACTATGAAGCAGTGAATCTCCACTGGTTAGTCCCTAGAGTGCTTCATTTGCTAAGTACTGTTATCAGATGATGAAGTGCGTGCTTGGTCAGGTACTTAACATTTGTTGCAGGTCATTTCCTCATCTTGTTCCAGGAAACAAGAGAGTCAAAGTTGTGTGTACACACACATATAAAATCAGGTCTAATTTATGAAAGACTCAGAGGGTGAGGCTTTTAGGGTGGAGACTAGATGTTGGGACTTTTCACATAGCCAATATAGTATACCCATTAGATAGTTTTACTGCTGAGAAAATGTCTTATAAAAAAATAAATAAGTTAGTACAGTATCTGAAGCATTTCTAAGACCCCTTCTGTGATTTCTAAGATTTCTTCTGTGAATCCAGGAACAGCATTCATAATTTATTTCTCCTGCCATGTAAATTTTGAAAGCTGACTGTTCAGAAGATGAGATTTTCTTCTTCTTTTCTTTTTTCTTCCTTGAAACAGGGTCTGGCTACCTAGCCCAGTCTGGCCTTCAACGCCCCCCATCCCCAAGTGCTGGTATTACAGGTGTTCACCACTGTGCCTCTTTAGAGTTTGTCTTTCTATTCCACTCACATTTTAATCATTGAAGCACAAACTTTCTAGGCAGAGAATCCAGTGGAAATGACATAAATGACAGTAGCAGGGAGCATTTAGAAGTTTACTTTCTGATTACTTGCTGCTTAGTAGAGTTTTTTTTTTTTTTTTTTTTTTTTTTTCTGGGCGTGGGGGTACTGGGTATGGAATTCTGGACCTTGTGCTTGTGAGGCAGACTGTGGAACCACTGAGCTAAATCCCTGGCCCTAGAGTTTTTGTAAAAGATTATTTTGTTTCAGTATTGTAGCAACACGTTGAAGCAGAAGTGTAGTGATGGAGCTTCTGTGAGTGGCTTTTAAGTAGACATACTAATAGTAATAGAACTGTTACAGTGTTTACCAATTTAAATGTGGAATTTTTTGTACGCCTTTAATTTGAAGAGAGACCTTTTAATGGTTCAGAAGTATTGTGAGCCTCCTAGAGAAGAATTTGTTTTACAAATTATTATTATTTTCACTATGGGTATTGAACCCAGAGCTGTTTACTTGCTAGGCAAGCACTCTAGGATGGAGCTACTACATTTGCAGCCCTTTTTGAGACAGGGTCACACCAAGTTGACCAGGGTAGCCTTGAATTTTCAATTCTGCTGTCTTAGTGTCCCAAGTACTGTAGCTAGGATTATAGATGTATGGCACACCCAGCTATCCAGGTTATTATACTTAAAAATTTTGTATTATTTTTGGTTTTGCTGAGATGGTGTCAGGTCACTTAAGCTACCCCCTGGCTTTTCATTCCCTTATGGTGTTTTTTTTTTTCTTCTTTTTTTTTTTTTTAGTTCCAGGGATAAAACTCAGGACCTTGCAAGGCTGGTATGGTGCCACTGGGCTAAATCCCCAACCTTATGGTTGGTTGTTTTGTTTATTTTGGTACCCGCGATTGAACTCAGGTCCTTGTGCTTGCGAGGCAGGCAACATATTGCCATGTTATAGATTAGGGGTGGAATGAATAGAAATTCGGAGACTAAAGATCTCTGGGCTTTGGTTATCAAGAATGTTCCTGACAATGGGGTAGGACTCTATCTTGAGAAATAGTTTTGGCTGGTAAGAGAGTTAGCCTGACCTGAGAAGTTCATAGATGGTGATTGTTACCTGTCAGTGAATAGAGGCAGAAACAGAATTATTGCCAGGAAGCTTGAAGGAAGAGATAGAAAGGAAGATATAGAAGTTCCAGGAAGGAAGACCAAAGTGCAGTGGCTAGAGGCCAAAAAAAAAAAAAAGGGATTTTAGGATAATACTTCACGATATTGCCTTCGATAGTCTACAAAAGTAGGGAAAGGTCATTCTTTTTTATTTTTATTCTTTTGGTGTTGTAGATTGAACCCAAGATAGTGCATGTTAGGCTATTGCTCTGTGACTGAACTATACTATGCTCTCAGTTCTAGGTCCTTCATGTTTAAATCTGCAGAGAGAAGTTAAATGTATTTGGTCATTGCTTTTTTTTTTTTTTCTACCAGGGATTGAATTTGGGACCTTGTGCTTGCGAGGCGGGCAGTGGAACCACTGGGCTAAATCCCCTGCTCCAGTTAAATGGATTTGGTTATGAAGAAATCATTGACAAGTTACATATATGATGTCAGAATACCTAGGGTATGGTAACAATAATGGAAGGTAGCAGTTGCCCAGAATGTGGAGTTCTGGGTTTGGTCTTCAGCACTGCAAAAAACCAAACCAAACCAAACCAAACCATGGGTTAATAAAACAGAAAGAGAAGGGGGAGGGGAGGGAGAGAAGTTGAATTCTCAAGGTGTGTTTTCTGACCTAAAACCAGAAATGATTATAGGGTGTCTATTGTTTGATTCATGTGCTAGGTGTTGTTTTTAAGTTGAATAAAAATTGTTTTAGATTACCTATTTTAAAAGATTTTGTATTTACAAAGTGGAAAATAATCAGAAGTTACAGGTAGGAGAGGATAGCTTCATGGAGTAGTATATGGACTCTTTCTTTTCAGCTTCTAAGGAAGGATGAGAGGCACATAGGATACTGCTGTAAACTGTTGAAATGAAGATGGAGGCTTTAATTCTATTGTATGAATAGCTACTGAAATTGAAAAAGAAGCTGGGAAGACATAAATAGGAATTTGTGAGTAGTGTGTATTGGAGACTCTAAAATAATATGTGAGGGAAGTTTGAAACTTATATAAGTGATAAATTGACAGGATCAGTCAGTAACTGGGAGGGCCTATATAAAACAGGACTAAAATGGATGGAATAAGTTCTGCACATGTCTCTTAATTCGGCCCAGAAGTGGGACTCAGGTGGGCCCAGTAGGGCAGCGTTGACAGAATGATAAAAAATTGTGGTCTGATGGGAATGATCAGAGAGAAATGAGAGAGAGATAGACTCTCTGAAGGCTTCTGAGAAGAAGTTCATGCTTCAATGATGACATAGGTAGACTGTGTGGAGTGATGATTGGAGACATCATGACTTAATCTGGTGCTTTGAGTTCTAGAATGTTAAATGTGCAAGAGAGGTATCACAAAGCCCTTCACAGAGCCCTATGGTAACAGGTAGTTAGAACAAAGGCACAGAGACTTGAGCTAGCATTTTATTTCACTTTATTGGTAGTGGGAATTGAATCTAGGGCTTCATATAAAGTATGTATTCTATCACTGAGATGTACTCCAAGCTGAATGAGCATTTATAAATAGGAAAAAAGATGTAAAGCAGTTAGAGAACACACAAACAACTGAAGTTCTTCAGTGTGTCACTTTTTCAATTTTTTCTTTGTGTTCTTCCAATTGTAGAAAATGTGACCTCAAATAATACATCTTTTTTTTTTTTTGGTACCAGGGATTGAACTCTGGTCTTTGTGCTTGCAAGGCAGGCCACCAAACTGCTGAGCTAAATCCCTGGCCCAATAATACATCATTTTAAAAGGAATCTTACAGGTAGAATGTGACTATATAATTATACTATTGAATAGATTTTGTGATAAGCAGCAGGTTGATGTGTATAAGTTTAGTTGCAGAACTGAAGAGAAATCTTAATAGGAAAGTAGTTATGTAAAATATGCCAAATCTATTACATATCAGTGTGCAGTAATTAAGTAGTATGAGATGAATGTATGTATACTGACTTTGTAGCATCTCAAGTAAGAAAATGGACAGAACAATATACACAGTCATCATGTTCATGTGTTAAAAAGAAAGAAGCCTTCTAGGCTGGGGATGTAGCTTAGTAGTAGTAGAGTGTGTATTTGGTATGTATGTGGCCCTCAGTTAAATTCCAGCACTGAAAAAAGCCCTCTAAAACTACATCAAGGTTTATAAATGTAAACATACATGCCTGTAATCCTGGCTGAGGCAGGAAGATTGCAAATTTGAGGCCAGTTTGGGCAGTTTAGCGAGAACCTGTCTCAAAATAAAATAAAAATATACAAGGATGTAGTTCAGTGGTGGAGTGCTTATCTAGCATGCAGAAGGCCCTGGGTTCAATCTCCAGTATGAGCATGCACACATGCATCTGCACACACACAGTTAATAAATGAGGGAAGTGAGATTATGTGTATGAGAATAATGGTTTTGCTGAGGACAAGATTATTATGTTATTGGAACCTGTGTGGAGGTAGAAGAGAGATTTTCACAATGTATTCTGCAGCATCTGTGCAATTTGAATCTTTAGTGATGATGTTAAATTAATATGTAATGCATTATAATAAAAATAAAACATTTGAAGTTAAGTGTCATTTTACATGGATTTAAACACTAATCACTAAGAGATTAAAATGTTTGGGTCTCAAAATATTGAAGTTGCCTAATGAAAACATAGGTCCAAGTAAGATTTCTTATTCATAAGGAATAGTTAATAGTTAATACAGCCAGGTATAGGTCCACCTAAGATTTCTTATTCATAAGGAATAGTTAATACTTAGTTAATACAGCCAGGCATAGGTAACTTTGACTAGTCAGTTAGCTTGTATTTATTAAAAAAAATTTTTAGTAATTTTTTTTAATTTTTTTTAATTTTTTTATTTTTTTGGTACCGGGGATTGAACTCAGGAATTTGCTCTTGGAGGCAGGCAGAATGCCACTGAGCTAAATCCTTGGCCCCTAGTAAGGGTTAGTAGTCATGTGACTAGATTGCTTTCAGTAAGGTATGTTAAGTCTGTGATCTAGGTTGTATCTGAACGTTATTTATTTATTTATTTATTTATTACCACCTTTTTAAAAAAAATTTAATTTATTGGTACATTCTAGGTAGCTAGTACAGCTACATTCATTACTGGGATCTTGTACCTTTACATGCCAGGTCTTGGTTCTCATTTTTTCCTTGTCCCCACCCTCCCTTCACCCTCCCCTACCCCCTTCAAACACTTTAATTCCATTTTTACATTTTCTCATATTTTTTTCCTTTTCCCTTATTCCCCTTTCCCTATCCCTTCTCACTGTCTCTACACCTTTGATCCTTTTCTTCCTACTTCATGTTGCTAATTGTCCCGTTAGGATCTTGAGTACTATTTTAGTTTTTCACACCAGAGAAACTATTTGGTATTTGCATATGTGTGCCTTATTTATTTCACTTAGAAGTATATCCTCAAAATGTACCCATTTAACTATGAATTAATCTACTTTCTCATTCTTTCTTTCTTTCATTTATTTATTTATTTATTGGCACTGGGGATTGAACTCAGGTCCTTGTGCTTGTGAGGCAGGTGGTGGAACCAATGAGCGAAATCCCTGGCCCTCTGAACATTTTTTAAAGCAGGGTGCTTATAAGTACTTTTTAGTCACTGACTTTAAATTGCTATTTTCTGAGCATGATCTTTCTAGATATAAGCATCTATTTAAGGAGATATTTTATTCCAAGTATTTATCATTAATAAGAAAAGTTATACTTTGGAAATACATGCAGGTTTGGGAATAGAAAATACATACACAACTGCTTTGTGCAGTATTGGAGCAATTATCAGAGCAAATTTTTAGTCTTTTCTAGTTACATTAAAGCAGAACTGTGTATTGAAAAGTGACAGGCTGAAGACCTGAAAATACAGATTGAACTAGTGATTTCTGCCTTAACAGGCAACATATTGTATATGAATAGATCCCTGTGAACATGTCTTGCATGCCTGATTAGGTGGTTGTTTGCCACTATTACATCTTTGTGGGGGTCCCAAATTGTAGGTAAGTCATTAATCCCAGTAGGTGCACTGCTTTGGGCCAGTAGAACTGTTGAGGCAAGTTTTGTAAAACTGACAGATTCATCTTATTTACTCTGTTTTTCCTTTGTGGAGGTGACATAGGGTAATCCTCTTTTTTTGCCCAGTTTTACTACTTTGATCTTAGCAAGTTCCTCTATGTGTTGTTGTCCTCAATCCTTTTCTTCCTTTTAGTTCCTGTCTAATTATGTAAAGAGAAATGTTGCTCCTACTTCTGCTTCCTCTAGTCCTCCTATTTTTTTTTTTTTGTTCCAATGGCAAACCAAAACATGACAGTAATGATTATTGGCAATTGCAGTGCTTCCTTTACCAAGGAAAAAGAGTTTTCAACTGGAGCTCGATATATGGATGATATTTTATTGACTCTTTAAGATGCTGATTAGAAATGCACCATTATTATATGGACCACAAATAAAGGAAAATATGCGTGTTAAAATCAATCCTGTCAATCTTTTAAGTCTCTAGAAAATATTCTGAAGATGCTTTCAGGGTGGCATAGGGTCAGTAATCTGATTGTCTTTGCCTAAAACCAGTGATGAATGTTAGCATCATTAATAGTGGAACACCTGACAAAATAATAACACTCCTGTGAACCAGTTTTACCCAAGTTCTTAACCTAACTCAATAAAGCCTTAGGGACTCATTTTCCTCTTTCCAGGAAATACTAGAGATAGAGAAACTGGTTAGATATAGTATGTGGAAGTATCTAAACATGACATGAAGGTGAGACATTTATAAAGTTGGCCCAGGCTTGTCTTGAGGGAAAATGGGAGAGTAAGGGGAAGCCATTGTAAATTCAAAGGGACTTAAGAGTCTTAACAGTCTACTGTGAGGTGTGATCTTTTGTTAGATGCTGGAATAAACAGACCAGCTATAAAAGACATTCTTTAAATAATAGAGAAAACTTGAATATGAACATTAAATGGTGGTAGATCATTATTGATTCTTAGGTGTAATATAGTTTTATAGAAAAATGTTCTAAAATTTTTGTGTTACCTTGTTTTACTAATCTTTAACAATATACTCTGAAAGCAGTTATAGTAGTTACAGTGTACACAGACAGAATCATGTAAATGTTGTGACAGTGAAATGAGGCCCACAAAGGAAGTGGTCTGTAGAAGTGTCAAATCCATCAGAAAATGACTCTAAAGCAATCAGAGAAAAAGCTTCAGAAATTGCACAATGTCGAGCAGAAGGGGACTGAGATGTCCTTATGTTAGAAGTAGAAGTATTTGACCTTTATGTTGTTACACCCTACATAATAGGTGTTGTTAGTCTTGGTTTGCTTCTTATTTAGGAAGTAGCACCAGATCCTTTTCAACCTGTGTTCTGTAGCCACAGCCAGTTAATAACTTGTTAGTTCTATCTGTAAAATATATTTTGCCATCTCACAGTTGCTCTTTTTATGGAAGGTGAAGTTGAGGCCAGATGGTAGAGTGGAAAGCTTTGGGGACACAAATGAATGCATAGGATTTCTTTAATAGACGAGTACTTTTTTTAATGAGCTAACAAATGTTTAGTGTGAATTTTATTAGTTTACTAGTTTATTGGTTATAAGATCTTTCTTGTCTTTAAAATTGTATTTAGGATCTCAAGGTTGACACAATAGAGCCACCGTAAGCCAAGGAGATTGAAGTTAAAAGCAATGTCAAAGTGAAATGCTGTTGTTGAATTAGATGTACTAGAAACAGTGGGTTGAATGTTGTAACTTATCTTAAAAACTGTTCTTAGCTGTGCATGTTAGCATGTGCCTATAGTTCCAGCTACTGGGGAGATTGAGGCAGGAGGATTACTTGAGCCAGGGCGACATAGTGAGACCCCATCGCTTAAAAAAAACTCAGTTTTGTGTGATTACATTCAAGCTGTTTTAAAAATATTGCTATTAGATTATTGTATTTAGTCTTTAAGTCTCTAAGTATATTACTGTAATAATCAGATTTAACATTTCTTTGAAAAGAGAGAGGTGGTTTAGGAGGGAATTTTCTGAATGTGCAGCATTATAGGCATTGGTGGAAGGGGATGGTAGAAGAAAACTTCAGTTTAAGGTAGCCAAGAACTGAGAGAAGAGATGGGCCAGGGACACGAATATGCTTTTGTAGGTCACATCCAGAGTGACCCACCTCCAAATGAGCCCCCCTCCTTACAGCACATTCAGCTACTGAGCTAGCTCATTCATCCACTGATGAGCATAGCACCCCCATGATCCAGTCACCTCTCAAACACAGGAGACTTTGAGGAGGGTACATTTAAGATCTAAACCATGTCAATATTGATTCATCAGAATTTTCCATTAAATATTTGTTTATTTGCAGGTATATTTGCTTACTTAAACTACCATGTTCCTCGCACAAGACGAGAAATCTTGGAGACCCTAATTAAAGGCCTTCAGAGACTGGAGTACAGAGGATATGATTCTGCTGGTATATTCTTTAAAAAGAATTATGGGTTTTGCATGATTATTAAATATGAAATGTTACTCTTTTTAGGAGGCTAGACTTTACTAATGTTTGTTTTGTTAAGCCAAATCTCAAGAATTTTTTTTTTCTTTCTTTTTTGTACTGGGGATTGAACTTGGGACCTTGAGCTTGCAAGGCAGGCTGTGGAACCACTGAGTTAAACCCCGGCCCTGGAATTTTAATTTTTTATCATGTTTAAAGCATTAATTTATTTAAAAAAGTTAATGTACATAATTTCAACACTATTTACCATCGGATTGTTTTTTTTGGGCAGTCTTATTTTTTTTTTTTTTCTGGTACCAGGGATTGAACTCAGGACCTTGCGCTTGCCAGGTAGGCGCCAGCACCACTGAGCTAAATTCCCAGCATTGGTAGTCTACTTTTATTAAAAGTGTTACCATGAAAACAAAAGTCATATGGGCCATTTTCTTGGAAACAAAGTTTTTGAAGGTCTTACTGTATAAAGTCTGTTTTCTTCATGGTAACTTTAATTTCCTTTTTTCCATGAATTCATGCTTTTGTTATATAAACTTACCTGAAATTCTTCTATTTTGTATAAATGAAAAACCAAATAAAAATAATTTTCTGGCAACTTTATGTTTGACTTTAGCTCCTGCTGTGTTGGGGGGGATCCATAAAACTATCTTCAGATTCCGTGATTCCTTAGGATAACTCATGAGATTCAGCATGTAATTTGTACTCAAAGGTAGGATTTATTATAGCAAAAGAATACAAAGCAATGTCAGCAGAGGGAAAAGGTGCATGAAATAAAGTCTGGAGGAAACCAGGCACAAGCTTCTAAGAGTTCTCTTCTAAAAGAATAACAGAATACACTTAATTTCCACGGGAATGAGTTATAATAATAAAGAAATGTTGTATACCAGGATAGCTCATTAGTGTCCAAGTGTAGTTTTTACTGGGAGCTGTTCCCATAAACATCATCTGCTTAACCCTGATCAAGAAAAGCAGGTGTTCAGCATAAGCCATATTGTTTGCCTGAACAGTTTAGGCAGTGAACCACTCATTGTTTTGTTTTGTTTTTGCTACCCTTGATCAAATAGGCAGTGAACCACTCTTAACTCCATTAGAGTGGAGGGAATCTTCCTGAAGAGCAAATTGCTAGATGCTAATCAAGGGTCAACCTTGAAAGCAGGCCTTTCTTAGGCTAGTAGTGTCAGACATCTTTTTTCTATACTTAACTTTGTCATATGGAATGGGCATTTATCTTTCTTGACTTTCCTCAGTATTAAAGTCTGTTTCTCACCTCCTTCATTCTTAAAATTCTTTTTTTTTTTTTAGCTTTTCTCACAGTGTATCATCTCATACAGAGACTGATTATTTTTTATCAGCTTTAGAGGCTCATTTCATTTACTGCTTAAATATGAATGTTCTTTAGTCTTTGCCCAGTTTTCTTTTAACTTCTGACTTTATCAACCTCCTGTATGTTGATGACTTTACGGTCCACATATGTATTATCTATATTATCTATCTATCTATCTATCTATCTAATCTCTCTCTCTCTCTCTCTCTCTCTCTCTATATATATATATATATATATTCCCATGTGGCAGACCTGTGTTTCTAGCTGCTTTCTATAAATTTTTTTCTGGGTAGAATACAGTATTACAGATTGTGCATGTTCAAAAATGAACTCGTACACTGCAGTCCTCACTTCACTTCTCATTTCTTTTCATTTTTTATCTCTTAGCAACAATCATTTAACAGGTCCTTTGTGCCTAGGAGAAATCCTAGCCTTTCAAAGGCTTTCTTACTTAATGTTCAGTCTGTTTGGCTTCTTAGTATCACTCATCTCCATCTTTATTGCCACAATTTGTTTAATTCAGCTGCTTTTCATTTTTGTTTTGCTGTAAAGGTAACTTGACAGCCACTTTCTTCTTTCTCTTTTTCCCTCTCCAACCCATTCTCCCATCTGTTTCTAGAGAGCAGTTGTTAACATTACTGCTACAGTATTTCTTTGCTTGAAATGACTCACTGCTTTCCTAATACAGTGTAACTTTTTCAAATTCCTTAGAAATTTAAGTAGAATCTTAAGAAATGCTTTTCTGACCATCCCTGCTTATTCTCCTTCTGAGGTATGTCTTGTTCTTCTCAGTTGCTCATTGTAGTCCATTTGCAACCTGTAGTACTTTATCATAGCTTACACTATATATGGTAATTATTTTTTCCTTTTCTGTCTTCTCAACACTGTTAGAAATTTTCAGACAAGAACTGAGTTATCTTTGTCTTTTGTGATAATGGGTTTGAACCCAGGGCCTCATGTGTGTTATGCAAGCACTGTACCACTGAGCTGCACACCAGCCTTCCTTTCTTTTTTGTCTTAAGCATGTGTCATAGTTCTTGACACATAATAGATTTTTTTTTTTGGTACCGGAGCTAGGACTCAACCTTGTGCTTATGAGGTAGGAGCGGTGTCATTGAGAACATAATAGATTTTTTAGTGAATGTTATATTGATAAATAAATGAATTAGATGAAAATATAATTTAATTGAAAATTTTATATTCGTAATGTTAACAGTAGCCATTATCTAAAATTTTGCTTTTCTGCCTTGTGATGATTTAGGTGTGGGGATTGACGGAGGCAATGACAAAGATTGGGAAGCCAATGCCTGCAAAATCCAGCTCATTAAGAAGAAAGGAAAAGTTAAGGCACTGGATGAAGAAGTTCACAGTAATGAACTGTTTAATTTTTGTCTTCTTTCCTCCTCCTGTCCCCACTAAATGCTCCATATTTTGGGAGCCATTTTGAGAATAATGACTCTGAAGTTGAAAGGACTGAAGAAAATAGTTTTGTTGTCATTTAGACTAGATTTAAATTGTGGTTGAACTTTAAAATGACCATAGTAACTTGGGAGGGAAATTGGTGAGGTACGTTGGGTTCAGAGCAAACTCAGTATATTAAAATGGAGTTGCATCAGAAACACTGTTCCAAAGAATGGCCTTTCATAGGACAAAGGTATCTTCCTTCAGTAGTGCCCTTATTCATGTTACTTCACTTGGTGGTAGTTTTCACTTTGTGTTTACTTAGCTTAATAATGTCCCAGATGCAAAATCTTGGCAATTTGTGTGAGCCAAAGGAGAAGCCATAAATTGCTTTCTCTGAGTAAGAAGATGAATTTTCTTTTCATTTTTTTTTTTTTTTGGTTTTTTGAAACAGGGCCTCACTACCTAGTTGAGACTGACCTGGAACTCACTATGTAGCCCAGGCTGGTCTCCAACTCACAGCAATCCTCCCCTGCCTCAGCCTCCTGAGTGCTCGGATTATAGGCATGCGCCACCATGCCTGGCTGATGAGTTTTCTCTAATTAAAAAAAAAAGATTCATACACTGAGGTTGCTAAAGTCTGTGGTAAGGATGAATCTTCTTTCTGTGAAATTATGAAGAAGAAAAATTCATGGCTAGTTCTAATGTTGCAGCTCATGCAAAAGTTATGGGGATAGTGCATGATCACTGCTTTGTTATCATAGAAAAGGCATCATATTTATGTTATATGCATATATAGGACAACATGTATTAATAGGGTTTTTGTACAGTGTACAGTTTCAGATATCCCAGAGAGTTTTAAAATGTATCCCTTGTGGATAAGAGAACTACTGTCACTAAAATTTAATGTAGCTTCTAACATCTCCACAGCATTAATATAGAAAATTTTCATTTTGTCTTCTTCAGAACAACAGGATATGGATTTGGATGTAGAATTTGATGTGCACCTTGGAATAGCTCATACCCGTTGGGCAACACATGGAGAACCCAATCCTGTCAATAGCCACCCACAGCGCTCTGATAAAAATAATGGTATGAACAGATTCTGTGTGTTTTGGAGTTATTGTAGAAAGCTGATAGTCGAAGAACAAAGGTGCTTATGTTTTTGTTATTTCACTTTTAAGCCATTTCCAAAAAGAGATGAACTTGATATATTTATTACCTAGCTTTAGGATTTATGCAATGCATGACCAATTGTTTATCTGTATTATTTTGGAGGCCAATAGATGTATCATAGATTTATGACTTGTCGCAATCTGTAAATTCCTCCTTTCTTTTCCTTTTCCATGGAATTTACTGTCTTGTCCTGTAGAGTTTTCTGTAGTTTAGATGATGCTAATGCATGTGTCCCTGATAAGTCATTTAACATGCTTCTTTGTCTCATATTTCTTTTTTTCTTCTTTCCCTTTTGGTTATTTGAGATAGGATCTTGCTCTGTAATTCATACTGGCCTTGAACTCACTATGTAGCCTAGGCTGGTCTTAAACTTGCTGTGACCATCCTGCCTCAGCCTCCCAAGTGCTGGGATTATAGGCATGTACTGCCATGCCTGGCTGGCCCTTATATCCCCCCCGCCCCGATACTGGGAATCAAACTCAGGACCTTGTGCTTGAGAGGCAGATGCAGCACCACTGAGCTAAATGCCTGACCCAGTCCCTTATATTTCTTAAAAATTAGCATGCTGTTAGCTAGGCATAGTAGTGCATGCCTATAATACTAGCACTCTGGGAAGCTGAGGCAGAAGGATTGCCTTTAACCTAGCTTGGTCAATTTAGCAAGACTCTGTTTCTAATGCATATAAAAAGGTCTGGGAATATAGCTCAGTGAGAAGTTCCTGGATTCAATCCCCAGTACAAAAAAAAAAAAAAAAAATTGATAGGATGTTTGGCTCTAAAGGTATATAATATCTGGATATTTCTCCTCTCTGCTCCCCTCTCCTATTTTTACAATACTGGAGGTTGAACCCAGAGCCTCAAGCATGCCATCTACCACTGAGCTACATTCCCAGCCTGATAATTTTCTTTTTGTGTTAGTAGTTATTGATAATCATTGCCAAGATTATTTCTTTAAGGGTTGTCAAATAGCCCATTTCATTCCTTCTTCATTTATAATCTCAAATACTTCCACAAAAGGAAATGTCTGCATATCAATTACTTTGTTATCCTGAGGTATAGATTGTATAGGAAGGGCAGAGTAAATGTTTGATTCTTTTCCTTTATCTATCATTCTTCAAAAATTTAGTGGTTCTGATGTTATCCTGAGTGAGAGGAGCAGTGATTTTTCTTTCTTTTTTTTTTTTTTTGGTACTAGGGATTGAACTTGGGTCCTTGCTCTTGCAACGCAGGCCACTGAACCACTGAGCTAAATCCCCAGCCCTGATTTTTTTTTTAAACTCAGGGTATGCATTTGATTTGTTTTAAAACACTGAATATGTGTATAAGAGTGTGTATTTCTTGGTTTTGTAATGTAATTCAGAAGCTGCTATTTAGGTTTTTTGTGCTTTAGTACTATTATTGAACTGAATTTGAATTTGAATGCTGGCAACCATTTAGGCTTTTTTTTTTTCAGTTAAGTTTATTGGTACATTTAAAGCAAATAATACAGTTACATTTATCATTGGGATCTTGTACCTTTACATGATATATCTTGGTTCTTATTTTTTCCCCATACCCCTTCTCTTCCTTTACCCCCTCACCTTTCCATAGTTATAAAGACTTTTTTCCTTTTTTCACATTTTTTCTTTTCCCTTATATCCTTTCTTCTCCCCTTCCCATTTCCCATTAGTGATTTTTTTCCTATTTCACACTATCAATTATACCATTTGAACCTTATTTACAATTTTAGTTTTTCACGCCAGAGAAACTATTTGGTACTTACATATTTCACTTAGGCCTTTATATTTCTTTTTTTAAATTAAATTAAATTAAATTAAATTAAATTAAATTAAATTAAATTAAATTTTATTTTATTTGTACTGGGGATTGAATTCAGATCCTTGTACTTGCAAGACCAGCGGTGGAACCACTGAGCTAAATTCCCGGCCACTTAGGCCTTTATAAAAGATAACTGCAAACTTAGTATCTAGATTGTTTAGAGAATTAGCCTTTTTTAGCTCTTTATGATTCTCTGTGTTCTGGCATTAAATTTTTTCCTTTAAATTTATTTTTATAGTTGATACCATCTTCTCTTAAAAGTGTAATGAAAATATTTATTGTAATATTTAGTTTATAGTTCATTTAAGTTCATACTTATTTACTATTAAATCACAATGATAGATTTTAAGGTATATTCAGAACATTTTAATAATGTAGTATATTAAACTCAGGCTCGGGGAGGTAGTGTACCTGTTCTTGGAGTTATGCAAGAGTTTGAGGCATGTGGGTCACTTGAGTTCAGGAGTGCAAGGCCAGACTGGGAAACAGTGAGACTCTATCTTAGAAATTTTTTTTGATTTAATAGTAATTTTTCTTTGACACAGAAACTTCAAATAATAAATCCTCATGGATAGTTTTTGTTTTGTTTTTCTAGTACTAGGAATTAAACCCAGGAATCTCTGAGCTATGTCCCCAGCCCTTTTAAAATTTTTTTTTCTGAGACAAGGCATTGGCATTTCTTTCTTTCTTTATTTTTTTGGTACTGGGGATCAAACTCAGGTCCTTGTGTTTATGAGGCAGGTGGAACCACTGAGCTAAATCCCTGGCCCAGCATTAGCATTTCTAAGTTGTCCATACTGGCTTCAAACTTGGACACCTCCTGCCTCAGCCTCTTGAGTAGCTCAGATTATATGTGTGCACTATTACACCTGGCCACATTGATAATTTTTCATGTACACTGTCAGCAGCTATAGGTAATAATAATGTCAACTCTTGATTATCCATTTTACATATTTCAAACTTATGTAATAAAATAGATGAAAATAATTCCAAGATCATATTTATTTGCTCCTGGAACGATATTTTAGCACTTTCATGTGACATTCCAGGAATTACCTGGACCTCAGACAAATAAATTTAATTATAAAACTGAGTAAGTGGGCTGGGGATTTAGCTCAGTGGTTCTGCCTCCTGCTTTGCAAGAGCAAGGTCCTGAGTTTGATACACGGTGCCAAAAAACAAAACAACTAACTGAGTAACTGTATTATTTTTGCTATAATTTTTAACTTTAGTTCTTAAACTCATTAATAAGTCAGGTGATTCTTTAAGTGTGATTGCACTTCTCTGTAGATATATCCAGGAATGAGAGGGGAGGGAAATGAGACTAGTAGTTACTTAGTTCAGCCCTCTCAGTTTGCAAATGAGGGAGCAGGCCCAGTAAATTTGCTCTTTTCACATGGTAACGCTGGTACAGTAGTTTCGCCACACTTGAAATTGATTTCTCTGCATGTCTAGTTTATTGTATTTCTTCACTGTATGTACGTCCCAGCATGGTATGTTTCCACTGAGCTATATAAACAGTTTTTCTGATTTACCTGATGATAATCTAATGATGAGGTATAGATGATACTTGATTACACCTGGAAAATATAGCGTAAGTTTTGAGATGATAAAATCTTTTTCTAATAATAGCTGTTTGTAGTACTTATCAGATTTCTAATTTTTGTCATCAATGCTTTTATCCCTTCTAGAATTTATTGTTATTCATAATGGAATCATCACAAACTATAAAGACTTGAAAAAATTTTTGGTAAGTAAAGTGACCTCAGAAGACCCTACTCTTAAGCCAGGTGTGGTGGTGTGTGCCTATAATCATAGCACTCAGGAGGCTGAGGCAGGAGGATTGCTGCAAGTTTGAGGCCAGTGTGGGTTACATAGTTCTAGGCTCAGGAAAAAAAAAAGGAGACCCCAGCGTTTGAGAATGCTTTTAACAAGAATGGTGAGGTTGCTTTTTGGAATTTGCAGTACCATCTTGGTGTCATCAAATGATTCCTGAGACAATTACAAGTGTATGGTGGTTTATTGGACTTTTCTTTAACAGTGAAGCAATTCTATTTCTGTATATGAAAAGGGAATAATTATTTGACTTTATTGTAAATGACTGAAACTTAATGAAATTGGGATAGAGGTGTAGCTTAGTGACAGTGTGGTTGCCTAGATCCCCAGCATCATATACATACATATATAAATAAAGTCTTGCAGGACATCTGTTGTGCTGTGAGATACATTGCTTGGTATTTTTTAAAATTTCTGGGATATAAAAGAAGAATCAGGACAGATTAAATAAAGTATGTATGTCCTAAATAGCTATGTGATATGCTGGGCTAGCTGCAGCGGTGACTTTCATGTGTGCCTTCCCAGAGCTGTCCAACTGAGTTTTCTGTGCTGATGGCAGTGTTCTGTTAGTGCCATCTACTGCAGTAGCCACTGTCCACATGTGATGATTGAGCTGCTGTGACTGAGAAATGGGATTTTAAATTTTAGTTAAATTTAAATAGCTACATATAGCTTATGGCTATTTTATTCAACAGTACAGTATCATAAAGAAAAATGTGTTATATTTATTGTGAAGTTAGTGTTTTGAGTGTCATTATATTTTAATTATTTAAAATTAATACTATACATATGTGTCATATAATTTAGGTGAAGTATGTGTTCAGTTTATAGAATACCTTGGAGTTCACTATAATCAGATGGTGGCCTTATTTTTGAACCAGTAAATGGGGTATGGCAATAAAAAATATTAGAAATCTGAGAGAAAAGTTCTATAGAAAAGATTGATATCATGATATTTCTGAAGTTTTTTCTTCTCTATTTACAGGAAAGCAAAGGTTATGACTTTGAATCTGAAACAGATACAGAGGCAATTGCCAAGCTTGTTAAATACATGTATGACAATTGGGAAAGTGAAGATATCAGTTTTACTACATTGGTGGAGAGAGTTATTCAACAACTGGTATGAGTCTATACTTTAATTGTGACTCAAGTTTAACTTTCTTTATGTCAGCATTATATTCCATTGTATATGAATACCACATTTTCTTTGTTCTTCTATTGATGAACATTTAGACGTCCAAGGTTTAGCTATTAGGAGTTGTGCTACCAATAACATTGATATGCATGTATCACTGTAATATGTTGTCTTTAACTGTTTTGGGAAGATAGCTAGAAGGAAATAGCTGGGTCAAATGGAATTTCTAAATTTCAGTTTTGGAGGAATTGCCATACTGATTTATTTCCTAAGTCCTTATACTAGTTTGTGTTCCTACCAACAATGTAGAAGGGTTCTTTTTTATCAAATACCCTTGCTAGTATTTGTTATTTGATTTCTTGATGATGGCCATTCTTTCTGGGATAAGATGGAATCTCAGTGTTGTTTTAGTTTTATTTTTTGGTAACAGGGATCGAACTTGGGACCTTGTGCTTGTGAGGCAGGCAGTGGAACCACTGAAGTAAATCCCCAAACCATCTCAGTGTTGTTTTAATTTACATATTTCTAATGGCCTGGACATGGAGCATTTCTTCATGTATTTATTGGCCATTTGTACTTTTGTGATATGTCTTTTTATTTCAGTTGTCCATTTTTATTTTTTATTTTTATTCATTTTTTGGAACCAGGGATCAAACTTGGGACCTTGCACTTGCAGGCAGTGGAACCATTGAGCTAAATCCCCAGCCCAGTTGGCCATTTTTAAATTGAGTCTTTTATTTTGAGGGGGGTGTCTAATTTTTTTGAGTTCTTTACACACACACATTTTTTTTTTTTGTACTAGGGATCAAACTCAGGTCATTGTGCTTGTGAGGCAGGCAGTGGCACCACTGAGCTAAATCCATGGCCCTAAGTTCTTTATATTTTGTAGATATTAGTCCCCTGAAGTATAGCTGGCAAAAATATTTTCCCATTCTGTAAGTTGTCTCTTCACTCAGTTGTTTGTTTTTCTCTGCACACAGATTTTTTTTTTTTTTTTTTTTTTGGTACCGGGGATTGAACTCGGGTCCTTGCGCTTGCAAGGTAGGCCACCGAACCGTTGAGCTAAATTCCTGGCCTCACAGATTTTTAATTTGATATGATACCATTTGTTGTATCTTCATACTGTTTCTTCTGCAACTGAGGTTCTTTTCAGAAAGTCCTTGCCTATGCCTATGACATTTTACCTTGAGATTGTTTTGGAGCGTTGGTTTGGTGGTCATGAACTTCAACTGTTCTTTATCATGGGAGCATCATTTCTTCATCAATTTTGAAAGATAGTTTTGCAGGCTATGTGAGCCTGGGTTGAAGATTGTTTTCATTTACAGCTTGAAACTTTTCATTCTAAGTTCTTCTGGCATTTAAAGTTTGTGTTGAGAAATCTATAATTGTAATGGGCTTTCTTTTTTAAATGATTCTGGGATCTTGACTATGATGCATCCTGGAGAGGTTCTTGTCTGAATGTAGCTGTTTGGGATTCTTCATGTAGCACTTGTTTGTATGTAAAATTCTTTTCCCTTATTTGGAGAGTTTTAAGCTATTATTTAACTGAAGAACTTTTAAATGCCATTTGTGCTCTTTTGATTAATTCTACTTAATCTGAGGTTTGTCCTCTTTGCATCATCTAAGATCTGTTGGATCCATTTTTCATGTTCTCCTATTTTTAAGGTATTTCTTTTTTTTTTATGAAATAAAAATTTATGCAACACAAACTGATAATCCAAATACATTATTAGTTTGATATGATCTTCAAATATATGTTCTTTCTCATTTTCTTTTCGTATAATATTTTTGAAATAATTTATTTACAAATAAAACAAAGTTACATATTATAGTTGAGAAACTGTACTCAAAATTTTATGATTTATAAACTCCTTAGTTAATATCATATGCTTGTTGATTGTATCACTTACATTTTCTAACAAAACTTCCCACAGAAAAGAAATATACTTATATTTGAAATCCAAAAGCAACTAAAAGAGTTCACATTTTTGCGATGATTTTTCTGTTTCTATTTTATTATATCCCATACATATTTTTGATTTTGATTTTGATTTCTTTTCTTTTTTTTGGTACCGGGGATTGAACTCGGGTCCTTGAGCTTGCAAGGCAGGCCACCGAATCACTGAGCTAAATCTTTGGCCCCCCCATACATATTTTTATTATATTTTTATAAGCATAATGATAGAATTTAACACCAATACATATGCAATATTCTTCCCAAACTAATGCCTATGAATTAAATCAAGCATGTAATTTAGAGAAATCATAAGGTTGGCAGAGAAACTATTGATATGCCAAATATGCAAAATCCTACTACATTCATGACCGTGTTTTTCATTTAATAGTGCACACATATGTGTAAAAACATACCCCCCCACATATACACGATGCATATTTTCTCCAGTACAATATATACATTGGTATAATGAAACAGTGAAGTGATGTGTGGAATGTTTATAATTTGTGTGATTTGAGAAAAACAAATATCATCTTTGAGGCAGTTGGAGAATTTGTAATATGTACCAGATATTAAATGATATTAATGATTTATTATCCATTTATTTAAGTATAGTTATGATAAAATTTACTTAAAAATTAATATTTGTTATCAGTAGAAAATAGGTAGAAAGATATATTGATAACATAACAAAATTTGTCTTAACAAATTTCCAACCAAACAAGCTGTAGTGACAGAAAAGGAAGTTTGCGCAAGGCAGAGATGAAAGAGGAGAATAACAGATGGACCTTAATACTTTTCATACTACTCATATATACGGATTTCATAAATTCTCAAATAAAAAAGCAAAGAAAATGAGAACCAAAGTAACTCATCAATTTGGTAGACCAACATATAAAGACAAAAATTAATGTGTTGATAAATTTTAAAAATATGAAATGTAAAGCCTGAGATTTAGCTCAGTAGTGCTGCACCTGTCTAGTCAGAATAATGTGCTGAGTTTAATCCCCAGTACCAGGGAAAGAAAAAGAAAAAAAGAAAAGAGAAAAGATTCAATAGATTAAAAATAAATTGTTATCTCTTCCTCTTGAATTGTTCCCTTCACAAGGATGTAGTGACCTTCTTTGTCTCTTTCAATCAGTTTAGGTTTGAAATTTAGTTTGTCTGAATAAGATTGCTACCCTTGCTTTTTTCTGGGCTCCTGTTGCATGAAAAAGTTTTCTGTCCTTTCACTTTCAGTCTATGGGCTTCTTTTTGCACTAGGTGTGTCTTGTATACAACTTACTATTGGATTTTGCTTCTTAATCCATTCTGCCAGTCTGTTTCTCTTGATTGGTGAATTGAGGCCATTGATATTGATGGTTATAACTGATGTGTATTAATTTATTATTGTCATGTGTTTTTTTGCCCTCTTCTTTTAGTTTCTTACTTTGCCTATTTGATTAGCTCTGTTGGGCCTCATTGTGTTGTTGCCTTCGTTGTCTTTTTCTAGGATCTTGTTTAAAGTTCCTTGCAGTGCTGGTTTGGTATTCATGAAGTTTCTCAGGTGTTCTTTGTCATGGAAGTATCTTATTTCCCCATCCATTTTGAAAGAAAGTTTTGCAGGATACATCATTCTAGGTTGGAGGTTGTTTTCTTTTAGTACTTGAAATATCTCATTCCAGGCTCTCCTTAACCTAAGGGTTTGTGTTGAAAAGTCTGCTGTGATTCTGATGGGCTTTCCTTTGCATGTGGTTTGTTTCTTAACTTTTACTGCTTGTATTATTTTGTTCTTCTGTTGGGTTTCTGGGATCTTGATTATTACATGTCTAGGTGTAGATTTTTTTTGGTCATGGCTAGTTGGAGTTCTATATGCCTCACTTATCTGTATGTCAAATTCTTCCCCTCTGTTTGGGAAGTTTTCTGTAATTAATTCTGTGAACAGCTTTTTTAGGTCATTTGCATTTTCTCCTGCTACTTCTTGGATTCCTGTCAGTCTTATGTTATTCTTCTTTGCATTGTCTAAGAGTTGTTGGATCAATTTCTCATGATCCTCTACTGTTTTTAAGAGACCTCTCTTTTCACAGTCACTGACTGCAATCCTATCTTCTATATCTGAGATTCTATCTTTGGACTCTTTTATTCTGTTGCGAACACTCTCAATGGAGTTTTTTATCTCCTGGATGTCTGCTCGAATCTGCCCTGTGGATTCCATTTCTTTCTTATGTTGGGCATTTATTGTTTCCACTTTTTTCTTATGCTGGGCATTCATGGCTTCTATTGTGGTCCTGAGCTCATCTATTTTTTTGTCAGTTTGTGTTCTAGAGTCTCAAATTATAACTTTCATTTTGCTCATCATCTTTGATTATCTGGGAAATTACTTCTGTTTTAAATTTCTCTAGAGCCTGATTGATCAGTTTTGTTATTTCCTGTGCTTTGAGTTCAGGGTGTGTCCTGATGATTCACTGTCAGACTTTTCATCCTCATTTGCCTCACTGTTTGCCATTGGTGAACTGAAAGTCTGTCCCTCTATCTTGCTTAAGCTTTTTCTCGTTTTTACTATTGTTGGGTTGTACTTAGTTTAACCTTTAGGTTATTACTTAAATCTTCCTGATATAGTTGGGCTTCAGCCCATGGATCTCTAATGAGTCATAGCCATTCTCATTTTCATAGTAACAAAGAAAACAGCTCATTGAATCAATCACAATCCTTTATTCTAATTCAGCACCACAGTATGATCAAGCACAACTTGCAAATTTACCCCTTGTAATAGTTATCAGTCTATCACCTTAAAACCATGTGAATTAAATTAAAATCAAGAAGCAATCCAGAATATGTTTGCAGTGAATAAACTTTTCAATAAGGATATTTAACATTTAGGATGGGGGCTCAAGGCAGAGTTAGGACAAGAGGAGTAGATAAGTAAAACAATTAGAGAAGATTTCACATGAAGCCAGAAGACGTAGAATGACCAGACGATTGTGAGGAAACTGTTAAATTCAAAAGGGATAAACAGAATAGAAGTATAATAGCCCTTGAGTGAGGTAGA